GCCATCAGCGAAATGTATTAATACAACTGACAGAACAGTGGAAGAGAGAGTACCTGACGAGTCTAAGGGAACAATCAACACTGAAACAGAAAAACAATACTCGTGAAATATCAATTGGAGATATTGTGTTATTGAAGAAAGAATCGACTGCCAGATGTATGTGGAAACTGGCTAAAGTAGTGGAACTGCTTCCTGGTTCAGATGGAAAGGTTCGCGCAGCAATAGTTAAGGTTGCGAACAGTGATAAACGACCAATTTACCTCCGAAGAGTTGTGCAACATCTTATCCCAATCGAGGTGAAGGCTAATAACGGCCAAGAAACACAACAACATCCTGTTGTTAATCCTTCATCGCCCGTTGTCACTGACAATGAATTAAGACCCAAACGTAATGCTGCAATTATTGGAGAGATTGCTCGAAGAGAAAGGGACACATAAACTGTACATTGCTTGTTGTTTTGTTAAAGTTTATTACTAGAGTTAATAAACTTGGGGGAGTGTAACAATCGTGACATTCACGTGATCGCAGACTTGTTTACGTTACAGTAATTTTACATAATTAGATAAAACCGGTTTTTCTTGTTTTGTTGACGAGATATATTTTTTTGGAACATAAAATAAAGGAAAAATATGTAGTTTTCGAGCGTGTTTTTAAACCCTTTTACGACGAATAAAGCGAAAATAATCACCGTTTTCTACAAAACACGAATATATGAATATCCCCCCCCCCGCCCAATTATCGGTCTAGCTACGGCCCTGCCAATCTTATACGTGTTTAGAGCGTGAAAAATAGTTGTAGCGGTAGTGGAAGTCAAATCTGAAGCTAGAGTATAATATTATCGTCAGTACATAAATTATTTTCTAAAGGAAATTATTTTCTATGTTAAGGATACACTAGAACTATTTTTTATGTCGATTTTCAGGCCGGATCTAACTTAAAAATGGTAGCAACTGTGCAGCTAATTAAATTTAGGTATTTACTCATAATTGTCCAACACTTGCTCGCTAGGAGTAAGATCATCTGGCGTTACACAGACCAAGGTACTGTTTCAATACAGTATGCTGTACATATGATCGGAGCATTGGTGTAAAAACAAGTGAAAATCAAGCAAGGGCGTTAGAGGGTGAATTGTGGCATAGCGGATTGACAATACTCATTGACAAATAGTCTTGTTAACTGCCCAGAGCCCAAAACTTTCTTTAGAGGAGTAAAATCGACGTAAATATTTGAATTTCAGCAGCGTCATTCCTGACGATGACTGCAAGTTATTCGAAACGTAGAATAAAAATGTTAATCGTTTCAGAGCTGCCTATGGCTGTGTATAACATTAAAATGTTGTTTACTTACTCTAGTTTTATACCTAATTTGTGTAAATCGCTTTTTATATTACATTAAATTTAGTTGCTATTACATAACAAATATCTGCTATTACATAACAGATACCTTGTAAAGATCTTTTGTGGCTTACATAAATTCGTTGTTTACTGTAGGTTCTGTGTCTGCAACGTACAATCTAAAAAAGTCATCCAGTATTTTGAAAGGAGAGATTGCCTTCATGAAACAACTAAAGAAATGGTTGGGAGAGAAGTGTAAATGGAATCTTTGTTACAGAGCTTCCAGAGATGGTTGGAGAGCCCAAGATTTTCACAAACATTGTGACAATAAAGGACCAACAGTGGTTTTGGTGAAAGCCAATGATTGTATATTTGGAGGATACACTGACCAACACTGGGAATCTTCAGGTATGTAAGAAAACATTATTAATATTTGTATCATTTACTGTATGAGAGATTGAGAGCTATATATTTCTGCAGCAAACTGCATTTCAACATCGTTCCCAGGCTCTTCCCTCTTGTGGGGGAAACACCCTGGTCGGAGCTGGTCACGTGGCACGCAGATTTTGCGTGATAAATTGATATTGATCTCAGGGAGGTGTAGTAGAGGAGTCTGTTTGTTGCGTTTGGAAAATTGCAACTTTACGTGTTATAGTTTCGGGTGATAAAATGTAATTTCCAACAACAAATCGTGAAAGAAACTGTTCTAAATTCGTATTTATCATGACACGACTTCCTACTATACTGATTGTGATCAATAATAAGTTTTGCGTTGCATTTCATGCGAGAAGCTGGATCATATTTCGCTTGCAAGGAAAGAACTCCAGGCGCGCCTGGCTTGCGAAGTTGAGCACGCTACGCTGTACCGCCTTTAGAAACATACGTATCTTCGGTGGCGGAAGCTAGGGGGGGGGGGGGGCGATTGCCTCTCCCCAAATCATTTTAGCTAGCTTTCATTTTGAAAAATATACCTGGCCAAAAAGGAACTTTCGTAACCGGATGACGTCAAAAATGACACGTATACGCGAATTTTACCAGAGTCATACGATAGAAACGTCACATTGTTTTAACGTTTTGAAATTGTATCTCCGGTTGGGATTAGCTCACAGTCGAACCAGAAATGGAAATACCGTGATCAAGATGCGAATTTGAAGATTTTGGCTCAAAAATGACACTCTATATTAGTGTTTTTGATAGTGATTCGAACAAGACTATTACAAAGAAGATATGTCTGAAGGGGCTGAAGTTATGTTCGGGGAAATGTATGGCTAGTCTATATTATTACTGTACGATCTCGCGAAATTAGTTGAGTGAGCTAGGATCTTCACTGAATCGAATCGTGGTATTATTGTCTTCATAGCATGCATTGAACCGAAGATATAAACATACAAATTCGTCAGCTTCTAGAAGTTGACATGCGTGGGACTTGTCGAGAAAGAGTTTCATTAGCATATATGATTTATAACAAAATGCACCATTAAGCTAGGTAATTCCGCAGTTTTGCATTGCGCACTTTTACTGCGCACATCTTATAACTTATAATTTCATCCATTATACGTACCGTTTAAAAAAATATCATTTTAGGGACCGGTCATAAAGTAATTACTAGAGGGGGGTGGAGGATAAATGAAATTTCAAGTACATATTTCTATACCCTCCGAAAAACCTATGGAGAAATTTTCGTAACCCCCTCCAGTGTAAGTAAAAATTTTCATACCCCCCCCCC